GATTTATAGTAATAAGTTTGCTGTTATATTTAAAGTTTTCCTTTTTGATGAATTTTTTAAGAATTCATTTGTATATTTCTTTTTGATTTCAATATTTGATTTCAAATCCTCAATTAAAATAGTACACTTCTACGATAAATAAAAGTTCTTATTTATACTGACTTAAAAATAAATTATATTTTATTTACAATTAATGATTAATTTGATAAACAATATTAATATTTATCACCAATAAAACAAAATTTTTATTCAAATAAACAATATTAGAGTCAAAGTGTATCCAACTATTTAACAAAATTAATAAAAAAATTACTTTTTTAACTATTAAAACCATAAATGGTTTTAATAGTTTATGCAATGGCCAAAGCACCCAAAGTCGTAAAATTTCGTTGATCAATAAAAAAAGAAGTAAATTATTTTTGTTGTAAAGGAATTACTGGAACATGATGTTTTGGTCTTTTTAAGAAGTACCGTTATAAATTTAAATGTTGACAGTAAAATAATCTGTGTAATTTCGATTTACTACTATTAGCTAAGTAGCATAAATAGTACAGTAGGCAAAATAATTGTTGGATAGAAGTGGCTGTCTTAGTAAAAAGAACAGTGGTACTCTGACACTAATAGGAAACGCCATGCGACGGAAAAGATAAGCATTTCGACGAAACAGGTAAACAACAACCGTAGCACTAGTAGAAGATTTTACAAAACCTAGTGATTGGACGGCACAAGTTCTGGGGTGAATTTATTACTAGTGTCTACCTCCTATCGTTTGCACCCACGCGCTACCACCCGGTATAATATATCTGCAACCTCCAGGCAGATAGCGGACAAAGATTTATATGCACAGATGACTCGACCGGTCACTATAAAGCACTGCGGTAGTCGGTTTCGCTGGGTATAATGTCAAACGTTTAACCCACCACATCTCCCCGTATGTCGTTTACCCTGTTCATCCACACTTTAGTGTGTCGCGCGATAATCTTTTGATCCCGTTAATCGAGCTATACACATACAACTTGCAGTCTGACCAGAGGAAGTTACAATTTCTGCCTCTACACGAGTAATTTGTGCGGACACATCGTTTCCAAGATTTTCAAGACTGTTATTATAATTAAAGACAATTATTGTGAATAACGTTTTCGGTAAATATTAAAGTCATCGAGTTACGAGGTGTAATGAATGTACTTCAACATGAATACACGTGTAATTTAACCGAGAAAGCTATTAAAATACTGTGAACTTAAGTGTTGTCATAAAAATTAATTGCAGCGTCATAAAGCTACGAGTGCAGTGTTGGCTTGTTTTTAATTTGAATTTAGGTTAATTATTGATAGATAATCTTGTGTTTTTTCAGATAATTTAATTCTATTACATTTTTCTTCCATCGTGTAGAAAGTGTTATCAATGGATTGATTTTTCAATTTTTCAGTTATTTTCATGTAATTTGCTTTTTCCTCGCACTCTCATTATGTCTATATATACTCTGTCATTATTACAGACATTTTTTAATAAATAAATATAGGAAAATTCTGTAACCGCGTAAAATTCATGTATAATATAATTTATTTAATAAAATAGAAAAAACGAAACGGATATATCTATAGAAGCGTAAATTATTTCTTAAAGCGTAATTTTAGGATAAAAACTTCACTGGTGTATATTTAAATGTATAAAAGTTAATATTTTGTATCGTTTATGTAACAACAGTTTTAATCGAGCACCGTTTATATTTGAAATTTAAAATAAACGAATTCGTAACTAATGTTTCATTAAAAATGTGTTCACTCAAAATTTTTTATCAATAAATTTTAATGATAAAATAAAACGTATTTAAACATTTTCAATAACTTGGCTTTATACGTTCAACCAAAATATACTGAACTATTTTCATGTGCTATAGTGGCATAACACAAAAATAATTGTAACGTTAATGATGTACAGGAATTATTTTAGCTTTAACTGTGAGTTAGCATATGATATATGTGGTATGAGATTTTAAGAATTCACTTGATTTATTCTCACAAAAAAAAATTAAAATGGGTGTATAAATTTTCTTTTATTCGCGTAAGCCTTCCCGATCATATGGTGGTTAAAATAGGATCAGCTAGATTATAATCCTTTTCTTTTTTTACTCATTCTATCTCTCTTTTTTTTATGTGCGACACTGATCTTAATGACGGGTAAACGATAAGCGTTGCTTTTCACATCAGGATAGTGGAAAAGGGTGCTAGCCTAAATCGTTTAAAAACGATCTGATGCTGAAGAGAAGATCCCAGGAATATTGGCCTCGCGTAAAAAAAAAAACTTTACTGACTACGGTAAGGGCAAGTTCCCGTTACAGACACATGCAATTACATGGGTCCTTTATGAATATCGCCACACTTACATTATATATATATTTGTTTTCTTTTTAAAAAAGATCCTTTTTTAAATAAATTTCACTTTTGGGTAATAAATTTAACATTTTTTTTTCATATTTTTTAAATATAACATTTAAGTTAAATATATAACCGCAATGAATTTTATTCACAATACATTATTTAAAAAAAAATTACTTTTGTTCCTATAACCCAATTATCCATTAAATACTTATGGAGGTTTTTTCTTATATATATTTATTTATTTTAATCTTGTTGGTAAGGTACTGTGAAATCGTTATTTACAAGTTTTTTTATTTTTAGATAGGTATCTCAAAAGCTAAAGCCTCAAATTCTTAATACCCATCTTTGTTTCACCCGTTGACTCAAATCTTTTTCACCACAGCGGTACAGGTTTTTCTTCCCTCGGCAAATAGCTCATTGCTTAAAGCTGCTTTTTTGGACTCAAAACTTGTCGTCGGTAAACAAGATAAATTATACTCGTCTAGATCATTTGAAATAAGAAAGATGAGGAGGGGATTACTTTGTTTTACAATCTTTCCAAGTCAGGTTCTTTCTAGTGCTTTTTATTTTTATCCGCAATCATTTACAGTATACTAAATCAGTAATTCAAATACATTTCATGCTAAAACTAATGCAATACTACTTTTTTGGAGTTTAATTTTGACAACTCGTCTTTAAAAATCATCCGATAAAGTTTCCGAATAATTACTTTAAATGACTCTGTATATCACTTTTATGTTTATTTATATCTATCAGATTAGATTTGTAGTAATTCTATAAAAGTTTTTTGGCTAAATAGTATTAAACACAAGTTGATTACTCTTTAAATCGGTGTTCTTTTAAATGTCATTTTGTAGCTGTAATGAATATTTCTCTCGGACAACCAAGTTAACTGNTGTAATGAATATTTCTTTCGGACAACCAAGTTAACTATTCGAGAAATGAAAATTCGTTAATATTAAAAATTCCAACCAATCATTTCACTTTATTTAACGTTGATATAGGATATTATTCTCCATAAGTGCTATACTATGTTGAAGCGCATTGAAAATGGTTGTTTTCTATTTTACAAAAGGGATATAGGAACAACCCTGTCACGTATTGGACGTTTTAATGGAAATTTCGTGTGTGCTTGTGTGCACGGTTTGTATATATATATATACTGTTCCAATAGTGATATTATCGCATAACTCAACATATGATAAGGGCGTGCTGTATTGATCAAACTACACGTCACGCAAAGACATGTTATTGTACTTCACTATTCAACTCGTCTACTTGTCTTAGACAAATTAGTGTGATGGAATTAACAATTACTATTGAACATTCCATATAATATACTCGGTCTCAAATTTACCTCACACAGGTTTGCCTTAATCTAACGATGAGTACTCGCTATTCGAATACTTCAGCAAACATTGTTGATTGGCTACAGAACTGTTGTTTATGGCATTTAGTTTATCATTTTAGCGTACGAATACCAATAAAAATAAATGTCAGACGAGGTAAATAAATAATACTCGTTTAATTTTACGAAAAAAAAAACTAATGCTTTAACATTTATTGGTTAGAGCATGAAATAGCTGACGCTCATTCGCGTTGAACGTATTTCAATATATAATTTTTCTCGTAAACCTTTTTGATACAAGAAAAAGCAATATACTAACTTTTCTTTCAGGATCATAGTTGAAGGGAAGAAATCCTCCGACTGAAAATTCTAAGTTACACAACGAATTTGCCCCTAAGGACCTGTTATAAGGAAATAAAGATACTAGCGGAAACCTCATTTAATCGCCTCTAAACGATTTTGCGATTTTCGACTGGACCCATGTGGCCGTGGTAAACTGCTTCCTCTCTGTTTTTATTATCGTAACATACAACATATCTATTTGTATATATATATATATATATATGAATTTAATGCTATTTGTGGTTACCCTGAAAATATTAAAGCAAGAAGAGATAAACAATTTTAAAAAGAATCGTTTTACTTAAAAAATTACATTTATTAGAGATAAAAGTGTTTGCAACAATCATACAAGGAAAAGATATACAGTTTTTTACTTTCCACTGTTGACAGGCAAGAAAATTTATCAGTTTCCATCTTTGAAAGCATTTGCGATCTAGGAAAAACGGAATTACTGACTCCTGTTAAATTTTGTTAAAAACCTAAATATTTTTATCTCAGTTTTTATTCTCTTTGTTACAATGGTGAAATAAAGGAATGTCGTTCGAATGCACTTGTCAATGTTTGTGAATCGATTGTATTTTCCGTGATAAATACGATGTCTCACGGTTTTAGAAATCATTTTTATTTTGGTGATATTTTCTNAAATACCATGTCTCACGGTTTTAGAAATCATTTTTATTTTGGTTCAGTATCAATTTATTTTTATGCGAAACAAATCACACCAATAATCTATACAACGAAAATACTACTGGCAACAAAAAACTATTGTAAAATATTTTCGTCTGCTATTTATTTGAATAATATATCTATTATATAATATTGTAATATGACAAGTTTTTTCATCTCATCGGCAAAGTAATGTCCATGATTTTATATTAATGTATAAAGTAAAATTTACAATTCAATCAAGATGCAAATTTAGTTTAAATTCATTCAATATCATTTATTTTTGGCAGTGCGTTTTTAGAAGGCATTCTACTATATGATTTATTAGTTAATTGCTGTGCAACCGTCAAGTCTGTTTTAGCCGATCTCATCATGGCAGAGAGTATGTCTGCTTTCTTCTTGGTATCCATTAACCTTTGATCGTATTCTATGTATTGAAGTCGAGCACTGTGCAACATAGATGCAGAGTAAGACACATCTTCTTGAGCTGTTTGTAATCTCGTACTTGCTACCATAACATCCATTGTAGCTGTTTGCATAGCTTGGTCCGCATAACTTGCTTCAATTTCCATCAGTTTTACATCTTCTTTAGCTTGTTTACATTTTTCTACAACAGAAATGAATAAGTTAATTCTTAAATGTATTTTTTTGTTCTAGGAAAAAAGTAACCTTCTGTAATTAACATACTAACAGAAATTATTGACTCTGGTGTGTATTATTACAAAACTTAATGGCGGTTCGTTAATTTTTTTCTTTTACAATATTATTCAATTACTTTTAAAGAATAACTTAAAATTAACTTAATTTTAAATAAGAAAATTTTAATGCCTATATTTGATTAGATAATAGAACATTAATTCTATTTTGAAATGAACTTAATGAAATAAACCAGTTTCAATTACCTTGAGCGTTGTAATATTCTACTAAAGTAAATTGTAAAAAATCTTGATTTTCCATTGAAGTTGTCAGGGACATGTTTTTAGATGAACGGAAAAGAGCCAAAATGCGATTGCAGTATTCATCATAGGAATCTCCTAATGAACTTGTACACGATAATACACAATAAATAATTCCGAAGGATAGTAATCGAAATACATCCATTTTTTCTATAATAAAACTAATAATGTGGTGCAGTAACTATATCATGTATGATGTTTTATTATATCTCGAAATATATTATACAGGTTACCAAGAGGAAAATTAACGAGTTGTTTAGCCAATTTCTGAACAATTAATTTAGCAGTTGTATATTTTATTAAATATTTAAATTATTAGACTTGTTTTATGTATGCATTAAATTTAATATAGTGAAGATAAGTTTAAAACTTTTATGAAATACTTTAAACTGAATTTTAAGGATTCATTAAAAAGTATAAATTTATAAATTACAATTTAAAATACTTTCTCAGTTTCGTATTGAAACTAATACAAATTCCAGTATGTATTTTTGTTTTCATAATAGTTGGCCATATTATGCGTCGCACATCACTTCAAACCTTAATTTTTTGTACAACATTACATAATTTATATTTAATACCGAATCTTCATTTTAAAATTGCAATGTACTATTATTTAACAATTTTATATTTAAAAAATAATCAGTATAATAGAATAAAGTAAAAATTCACAAAAAGAGTACTTAAGTGTAATCACTTGAACTTTTACTACATATTAAATTACACTAATTTTTTAACTTGAATTTTACCAACTTTAAAAAAAATATATAAAAAAAGTTCTACAAAACATAATTACTAGTAGTTATGTATAATATATCATAAATAAGTTTCAAATACATCGTAAAAATATAATTTATTAAGTTTTATTTATGTATGTATTAAAAATGGAGCTATACGTATTTAACTAAAATTAATATCAATTTTTTTGTATTCTTTAGAAACAATGCATGCAAAAATGAAATGACGAAAGAATAGAAGAAAGGTGAGTATCACTTAATTAAAAAAAATTTAATTAAATAAAATAACAAAACAATTAATTTTTTTAAAGTGATTTTTTAGTCAATCTCATGACTGTGTTTATTGTTTTTAGTATAAGGCTCAAACTTGACATTTTTGTATAATCGAACACCTGTATTCTAATATAAAACATACTTTTTATCCCAGCTTAGTTTTACTTCTTCACACTAATTTTTCTTTCATTATTTACTTCGGTAAACTTTCTTAGCTTAATATTAATAGAAATAGGTTAAGTATAATCATTAATATTCCCATTGTCGAAATATTTCTTCGTTTTATACTTCTCTGAAGTTTATCTTTTATTTACCACACCACTGTTGACAATTAATTTATAATAAGTTTAAAAAAGGTTTTGCTTTTCTTAAAGTTCAGATGTTATATTGATACGTAATTGAGGAAATTATATAGTTTATTATGTTTAATAACTAGTTTATTATATTATATTCATAGAAACAAATTAACTAGTTTCAACCCTTATCATTCTATTGATTAGAGCGAAAAAATACAATCAACAAATTCTGTATATTACAAAGACTTTTAGATCTTGTAATTTGTCCGTCCACATTATTTATTTTTTACTACTTTGTCCTACTACTTGTTCGAACTTTTGGTGTTCTTTGGAAACGTTGTGATCGTAAATTTTGTTATTTATGTTTATTCTATCAACTTGCTTTTGTTTATTACTACCACGGAAAGTTTTTAAAGTTTCCGATACGTGCTGGCTCAGATAGCATCCTAAGTAAACTATAAAACGATACGTAAGACTTTTTCTTTTTTTAAAAGTGTATGATAGTAAAAAATATTGCATACATTAAAATAAATAAATATCACGATAAAGAAGTATTTAAGTAAATCTGAGGTTTTATTTTACGTGAAACTATTTTTAAGTTGTAAAACTAAATATTTTAAGACTATACAAAGTGTAAGAATCGTTTTAAGAAGATTAATTTATATTCCAGTGTTTTGCACCAATTAAATTAATGTTACAAAAATAATTAAACCAAGTTTTCCAATCTTTAAATCTTCATCTAAAGTTTTCTGCGTTAATAATTCCTACAAATAGTAACAATAATAAAAGTGAAAACCGAGTGTCAGTAAGATACTACTTAAGTTTTAATTTTTGGATTATATATTAATTAAGATTAAATCAGACTTAAAAATTTATTCTTCCGTTAAATATTATATTTCAGAAATTGAGTTGTATGATAAATCTTCTTTTTTTAGCTTATGCCGTTTATTATAAGCACATGCTATCTTTGAGAAAGTCACAGAAGAGATCTCTGATCCTAACAAACTTTTGTAGGATGGGTAATCTTCAGTAGAAACGAAAAAATTTAATTATTATTTAGACATTTTTTTATTCGAGATCAACGTTTAAACTAGTGTGTAAACATTGAGAGTACTACCATTTATTTGATATAGCCAAACTATACATCTGATATAATAACCAATTCAAAAAATATATATCGTTTAAAAAATTTTGTTAGTTATTTTTTTTGTTTGCAAGAATAATTTATACGATGATAATACGATTTGCAAATGATTTAAGTTAAAAGCATTTTTAAAGTTTAATTTATTAAGAGTTATACACAATATCATCATTTATTTAAATTTTGTCTTGGTTTTTAATGAAGTGTTTTTTTAAGCTATATATTTGGACAGTAAATCAGAGGGGCTAAAATATGTACAATTTAATTCATGTGTAAATTAAAAGTCCACTATGAGACTTAATTTAAATCCTTTATTGACCCAAATTAAGTTTGATATGTATACATTATACTTTCGAAAAAAAGTACTCAGTATTTTTTATACTATAGCATTTATGAATTTTTTAACTGTTGTAGTAATAACCTTAACAATTCAATTTACCATTTGTTTACTGGGTATCTAATAATTCATTGAAAATTATGTGTATAAATCGAACAAATATGTTCTTAACATTTTTAAGAGTATTCTCTTGCAGTAAAATATAAGAAATCAATCAGGAAATATAGTTAATAAGATCATTTAATTCTTGTGAGTTTATTTAAAAATTATTTTTACTAAACAGAATTTTACTTTAACCACATTTCATTATGGATTTTTTAGAAGAATATATTCTCAAAAAAGTTAACATGTATTATGTTTTAATTATTCATGATGTTCATTATTTTGTATCCGTGGTTTTAATTACTCTTTGATTATTTATGTTTGTTGTACTTAACTTAGCTGCTAATATGATTAACATGATGTAAATTAGAAAGCCAACTTTTAATATTTTATATATAATTCAAATTCTTTGTCTTCACCAGTATATTTAGTTTTTAATTTAAAATTATATCACTTAATGAATATTCAATTTGGCCTAAATATTATTATCTAATATATTGAAATACTTATTTTATATCTATCTATTATAACATAAATTAGTTTAAATTTATTCGAAAATATGAGGACTAAATTTTTTTATATTTAAATTGAATTCTTTGATTATTTACAAGAGTAGGTATAAAAAATTAAAAGACCCTGTTTTTATTAAAAGATCTGAAATAATGTACGGTATTGTTAAGTCATGTCATGTATAACATAACCTTAATTTGATTTATAGTATTAAAACGTATTGCCTAAAAAAGTAACGTTGAAAATATACGACATTGATACGTTTCCTGCATACTACACAGTTTTATTTCAAACAGAGGTCTTAAAAAACATCTAATTGCAATCAATTCTGATTCATTGTTTATAAAAGTTAAATGTAAATGGTATATAAACATTAGTTCATCAATACAATTCTAAATTGATTTTCACTTAAATTAATCAACTTATACGATGAAAGTTTATTGAAAAAATTAATTATATAAATATAATGTGTTCAAATTTTTTTTTTTATAATTATAGAAAACCAAGTAAAATAAATAGAATATCAAAAAATAGTATTGATAAAATACAATACTTTGATGACTTAGTTGTCAGACTGTTAATTTCTTAAAGAGGTAATTAAAAAAAAATATATAACTGACTACTTTTATAATAAAAATGTTGGTTTAAGAAATATCTTATCGAGCAGCAATGTATCAATTGAATTCATTTTTCACCAAATTAAAATCTATCAATGTTGTCAAATTTTATTTTATTATATTTATAAATTAAATATCAATGATAAAAATTTGATTTTAAAAATATATAATCTATTTTCTAAAAAGTCTATTAAAAAAAATGAATTTTTATCTTATCAAGTTTGTGACTTTTGGTTCCATTGGTAAAGCAATCACGTAAAAAATAAAAATAAAAATACAACATAAAAAAAGTCAATATAGCTCAACCAATCTACCCAAAGCTTTCAAAATAATTCCAACGCGTGACTGCATCTATCAGAAAGTTATATTAACTGGGATTTCATTTGTCGAAAACCGCGAAAATGTTGATTAGCTGATATTGCGAAGCCTAAAGAATGATCTCTTTCCTTATTGCTTTTTCTATGTTTCAAAGATAATATAAAAACATATTGAAAAAATTATTAAATTAAATTAAAGTAGAGTTCATCAATAATTCTCTAAAAGATAATCAACTGTATCGTCTGTTCAATAAGAATGACACACTTCTAATTTCTAACAGCAGAACGAGCTTATGTTAAAACGTAGCATTTATATTCAAACCCATGTTACAGTATTAAATTAAACACGAATTTCTGTAATCTCATAAAGGCTTGAGATATCATTGTACTTCATTATATTCTGAAACAGAGCTTATAAAAGAGATTACATGGAAGTTTGTAAAAACCTAATGCTAATTAAAATATCACTCAAAAACCTTTTTATCTATTTTAATAATACCATGAGATAAAATAGGAAATTATTTTTATATGAAAATTATGGGATAATAAGTTATGAAGTTCATTAGTTACCTATAAAGCATTTTAAATTTATTATTGTTAAATAGAATACATACTCGCATATAATAATAAAATTAAAAAAAATGTATCGGTACACTTGAAAAATGTCATATTATTAGTAAATTTTTTTGCATCTTTATACAGAACTTTAAAGAAGACAATTTTTCCACATTAAACTAATGCAGTCAATTAATAGATGATTTTTTAGAAGAGTGAGTATTTTTACTAAAATAACAAGATTAATGCATTAATTATAATTTTACTGTAAATATTTCTTTCATTTCAATATTTTACCACAGATAACTCATAAATTTTACATGACATGTTATTAGAAAATTAAATTTTTAGTAAT